GTTAACAAGAAAAAGGTAGTGACACTTACAGGATTGCTTCAGCTGCTCATCTGCCTTCTGAGGATAAATTGGGTGCCATGAGTAGTCGATTGTAAACATCACACTGGGGACTGTCCAGCATTCAACCCATCCAGCCCTTTCAAAAAGAGACACCGCGCTTTTATTTGAAGTCCAATACTTCCATTAAATATCTTTCATGAACTTATGAAGTTGCTTTAAACACAGATGAAAGAAGCAAATATGATGAGCCAATATAAACATAAATCCAAACAAAAACTCACTCTTCTTGAGTAATGTTCCTCCATTTGGGTTTGCCTGTTTTCTGACCACTTTGACACTCTGAGGACATACAAGACTCAGGATTTATTTTATTAGGCTGACAGTCTTTCACCAGCATAAAGAGGGAGTATTTACTAGGATGACAATCTGGTAGGTACAAATGAAGATCAACATCTTCTCCCTAAAATCAAACATTAGGAACAGAGAAGTTCACTTTCATTCACTTTATGCACAGTGCTCAGGCTATTTGCATACGTATGTGTCATCATCTCCACTTTACAGGCAGAGTTAGACAAGAAATCTTTGTTTTCCCACCAATTTCTACTACAAACTTAAGAGCTCTGTAGTTCTGAACACTTAAAACTCCAGTAACTTGCACATAAAAACACACCAAACAATCTGTAAAACACAGGGGCACAGCTTTCAGTGATTCCCGTTCTTTTGTTGTTCAAACCATACTGATAAAGTCATGTAGCAGGCCCAAGGCTACCCTACATCTCAACTAAATCACACTTTAAAAAGAAAAAAACCATAAATCAATGCTTTCTTTGCTGTAAAATTATGTAAAATTATCAACATCCCCATCAACTAGTTTTTTATTTTTAGTAGCAGCAGATAGCTTCTATTTCAGGGAAGACAAGAAGTACAGTCTTTCAAAGAATTATCTGTGTCTGTTAAAAGCACTTTATCATCATTATCTATTCTACAGAACCTCTTAAAAATCTGGAACATGGCTCTGCAAAACAGTTTGGGGGTACCTGCTCCAGTATTTGATTCTATCATTGAACATACATTAGATTTTCACATTTCATAAATGAAAGGAAGCAGAATTTCAAGTGATAAAATACACACACTGACTAACAGCCTAAGTATATGTAATAAATACACATATTAAATGTGTGTATATATGTATGTGTGAAGCATATGTTTGTACATATTTTAAGAAAGATTTTTATTTTTATATATATATAAATAAAACCAGTCCATGATTAAATGCTTCATACAAGCAAACTGAAATCATTTGCCTCTGTGTTACTCAAAGAAAAATTCTATGAACTTAAATGAAGTGAAATAAGAGTATTTTTCTTTCAGGAAAGAGATAATTGAAAATGTCCTGATTCAAGAAGCTATCTCATATTTAGAAGACAAAAGAACTTACCCTTAAAGAGAATCTAGTATTGCATGTGGTTGGAACAAAATCAGTGAAAGGCAGACTAAAAACAATGTTCAGTGTTTCTCCACAAGCTGCCAGATAAACTGGGAGAGAAGAGGAAAAACAAACAACAAAAAAATCTGTCAAAATTACTGCCTATTTTGTTCTTACACAAGTTATCAAACACACAGGTAAAAATAATGAAAATATATTAAAGAACTCAGAGGAAATTGCCATTTTAACTACAGTGTATTTACAGTAATAAATTACTGCTATAAATTATTCTCAAACTATTTACTCCCCACGGCTTGTCCTTTCTAGAAAGACACTGTACTTAGCACTATGAAATTGCAGGCAAACAGTAAAAATATCTGTAGTATCTGATGCTTTTCTTTATTGCTTCAGACATCAGTTTTTGGACGAGAAAACACACATTGAAAGTTCCTCCGGTTTCTGATGAAGTGTTGAGCTCATTTTTAACTAGAACACAATTTAATGATTTTTAATCCACCATCTTCTTTCTATGTTGAAATTATAAGATTTGAGCACAGTGTAAACTACTGAAATGCTGAAATATTTGAATTCTATTACTCTCTCTATATATATATATAAATATACACTGTATATTTTGTAATAATTTTGCAGTATGTACTACTTCTTCCAAATAAAAAAATGATCTCACCATTCTCTTGTTGTTTGGTGGAACAGTCAATCCAATTGTGTTGATTTGCTGCCCAAATCATTTCAAATTGATGAAACATGACTTTGAAGTTCCACATATATGGAACAAATGAAAAAATATCAGGTGCACTATCACTGGACCAGTCTTGGATCAAATCTAAACCCACACAAAGTAATAAAAGGCAAGTTAGTAGCAATCAAATGAGAGATTTCTTCTTTTAAGATTTTAGTGTTGTAGAAGTTCATGATTGCCCTGAACACATCAGCAAACAACATTAAACAAATCAATAACTGTGATAAGAGATCTGATAAGAAATAAATTTAAGATCGCTTAACATAAATGCAGATCAAATTTAGTTCAGATATCAGAAAATTAAATTATGTGTATCTCTACTGAAAAGTAAGAATGTCATGAACTTAGACACACAGAAGCATCAGCAACTTTGTTCTCAGAAACAATTTGTTGTCCTAAATATGAGAAACCAGACAACCTGACCTTGCACAACTCAGCAAAATTTGACAAGAAATCCCAAAGAAAGAATATTTAATTTGATATGTAACTTATTTAGTAAAGAGGTTACCTGTAAAGAAGCTTTTCTGAGCAAAGATGAAATGATAGGTTGCTTTATAAACCTCAAGCTCACATTGCCACGTCTGGGGCATGTTCCATATCCGGGGATAGCTGGCATTGATATGGAACTGTGAACAAGATATTAAAGCACCAGAATTACCTCAAGAGATGACAATGCTTGACCCTGTAGCTCAGCAGTTTTCACATATGTACCCTGCTGAATAATTAAAATTGTTCTCCTGCTGGGATGAACAGAAGGCCTCTCCAGTTCCTTAATAATTTAATCTCTCTTTCTGCATTTGAAGGTCAAGTGTTAGTATATTAATTTATTTGGAATGGTATATCATGAATCTGCTGTAGTAGATGTACCAAGCAATTTATAAACAAAAGTTTTCATCAATACACCAAAGAAAATCCCTCAGAATACAATATTTTTCAACCACTGATACAACTCTCAAATTCAAACATTAAAAAATATGACCCTAATAAGGTCATTTAAAAAACAATAAGAAGGGTAATCTACAGAATGATAGTATTGTAGAAGTGAAATATTAGGTAAACAAAAGAATAATACAGTATTAGACCTGTCTCAAGTAGTTCAGGCACATTTAAGTACTTTTAAAGTATTTATGTGCACACATTCTATAGCAGAGCTAGTGAGTGTAATCATTTATTAAGGTAAAGCCTGTATGAACATGTGGCTACACAGCAAATGAGGCAAGATCTGTAAATGAAAAACACTAACTTGGTATATAAATTATGTAAGTCACTGGAG